TTCAGGGGGAAATCAGTTGAAATGCTATAGATTTAATTGAAGAGTTGAATTGTTGTACGGGTTGAATTTAGATGATAGTGAAAGAATATTTGACTCATAGACGTTTATGAGCCCAAATGGAAGAATGTATACCTTTTGAATTGTGTTCTTCTTCAATTACGGAAAGTAAGCAAGGTTTCTTCATATCTTCTCTTTTCATCTCTCCCCAAACAATGTGTAGCAAAATAGAGATTGAGGTAGCTCAAGAGAGAGAGAGATGTGGATTACCACCTAGCTGATGTTATGGATTAAACAAATAGTTTGTATTACGTATATCAATAAATAATGTGAAATAAGAAAACCTCAACAAGAATGACACGACATTTAATTTTCTTCACCCTCAATGTGAGTTATTGCACTAGGTGTGACCTTCGATTTGCGTTATATTGAAGAAGAGAATTACAATGTGTTTTTGGACTCGTGCTTCTCTGTTTTCTCTCTATTATGATACATCGAATGGAGGCTCGTCCTAATACATGTGTGAATTTTCTAAAGTGCCCCTATAACTTAAAAAATCTCTCCCCCCCCTGAACCCCACTGCAAATGTTGAATCTTGATCGAATGAAAAAGTGTACAATATATTATGTTTCACACATCTAACATCCAAGTGGCCTGATATTCTTGATTTATTGTTCTTTCCTTCAACTACTATGTTTTTGCTTGTATAGACCACAATATGATGTTTCACTCTCACCCCCACAATATTAAACTACAAACCCAGATTTGATTTGAATTAGTCCGGAGCATATCATAATATGAAGTGAGTGTTGAGTAGGACCAAAATAAAGAGAAATAAATGTTGCTTAGCCATGCCCTAATTCCATATTTGATGGCATTTTTTATATTTGTGGCATTTCCTACGTGTAACTTGTTAAGTACGTATTTTCACTTTGGCACTTCCTCTCTTCCCAAATTTCCTCGAGACCAAGAACAGAGAAGTCAAATTCCTTCAATTTTCTTCTCACCTTTACTTTTCATACAACTTCTCATACCTACAATTATACGAGTAGATGCATATCTTGCACTTCCTGTACCAGCCTAAGATGTGAATCAGGAGGTCTGTTTTAAGTACAAATTCAATTGAACTATGAAACCTGCATGGACCAAATATTTACCTTATTTTGATGAAATCTTTGACACCTATGTGGAGCAAAACTCTTTTCTTCATTTGTCTTAAGAATTGTAATATTTAAATTTATGAGATGGTAATATAAACTACGTTTATTTTCAGGTGAGAGCGAAATTATCCACTTTTGGAGGATTTGGTGGCCCTGTTGAAGTTACCTGTGGTGGTAATGCCCTGAAATTTTATGCTTCAGTACGTCTGAATATTAAGAGAATAGGGCTAGTCAAGAAGGGAGATGAGGTATGAATCTCTCGTGCACATTATGGATATGTTGGACATGTTTGCTTGGTTGGAATCTGATTGATTGACACATCCTGTTCTGGACCTGACTTCTTTTAATACACCCACTCTGCACCATAACACCTTGGTTTGGTTTTTTGGCTAGTTTTATTTCGTCAGAAGATGATCACTTTATTATTCAGAACTTAAATCTTTTAGTTGATTGTCTTGGATATTTTTCATGCTTTTTTAGAAAGTTCTTGAGAGTGTAAATATGTATTATCCTCTGTTGGAAGAATGACACTTTGGATGAAGTTTTAACTTTTAGTGATCTCTTTGTTTTACAGACTATAGGAAGCCAAGTTCTTGTGAAGATTGTAAAAAACAAACATGCACCTCCATTTAAAACTGTTGAATTTGAGCTTGAATTTGGAAAGGGGATTTGTAGGGTGGTGGAGATCATAGAATTGGGATGCAAACACAATTTGATCAAGAAAGCTGGCGCAATGTATTATGTAAATGATCAGATTTTTCGTGGTAAGGATGCTATTAAAAGATACTTGTCTGAAAATGAAAGTGCACAGGAAGAACTTATGGTTAAATTGAGAGAGAAGCTTATTGATGTGCGACCAGACCAGGAAAATAAGTCCGATGTTGGGGCTATTGGGGGAAACTCCATGGAGGAGGTTGTAGATGAGGAAAATAAGTCCGATATAGGGGCTATTGGTGGAGACTCCGTTGAGGATGTCGTTGTGTCTGACAGTACCGATGAAGAAGTTACTGCCGTTGAGGTACAAGTGTGAATGACCTCAAGATGTAAATTTTCATCCCATTTTCTTCATCAAACGAAGGCTACTTATTGTGCTTTGCAAGATATGGCGTTTCTGTATCTGCATAGAATCGACAGAAGAAATTGATTGCCTGTAGGGGAGCAGTTTCCATATATATAATAGCGCAGCCTCTTCTATTGTAACGAATGTCTGTATTTCGACACGATACCTTGCAAGTTAAACATGCTGCATATTTAGGGTCATGTTGGTGAAATTGTATGGGTTCAAAGGAACATTAATGGCTGAGCTGTTTTCCCATGTTTTGATCTGTTGGCAATGCCAGTCATTTTAGTAGTCTAGCTCCCGCTCTAACGAAATTATTGCACCTTTTGATTATTATTATTTTTTATTTCTGCGCAATTTTTCTTTTGTCCTTAAGGTTTGATAAGTAGTTGGAGCAAATGCATCGTGCGTAGAGTGCCTGTAAGGTTGTATAGCATAGTGTTTTTTAATTTTTAATTTTTGGGCAGTGTTTGAAGTACAGTGGCCTGATTCACAAGTCCTTGCCAGACCACACACCTCGGGAGGGGAGCCTCTTTTTTTTTATACACAGGTGGGATCGGCTGCGCAGTGGGAGGCCTTTGAAATGAACCCCTATACTTGGGGAGTAATCCTTTTTAATATATGGATTTGTCATAATGGGCTTATGAGGATAAGTTTTTTGGTATGTTACTCTCGCATGATTGGTATGCACAGGATATAATATTAAATTCGAATAAAACAAATCAACAGAATGTCTTAGAGTTTATTAAATTTCGATTCTTTTAAGTTTTGCATTCCTTTCCTGATATTCGACGCAAGACATATTCTGAGGGAGGAAATTATATCGAAAAGTCCAACAAAAGAGACAAGAAACGGCATAGGAAAGAGCTACAAACTTTAGATTAGTGTAAACATATCACAGATGTAGAGTAAAATAATGAATGAACCATAATTGCAGTACAAACCATCGCAAGAAACAAATACAAACTAGGGAAACAGAATGAATATAACAATTATATGTTACATGAGAACTATTAATTGAGATAAATATAGATCACTGATAACCAATACAGGCTTACATAGGAATATGAGGATGAACAAGATTAGAAATTCTTGCCTTCAGAAAAATATTTACTAGAGAAATTACATTATCAAGAAAAATCTGTTTAAAAAATGTGTGGGCTGTTTTGACATAATTTTGAATGTGATCTGTTCGTTTATTTTGGAAGATCAAAGGTAATTCGCGGTCTCATCCATGAATATCGAAATCATATATTTACTTGCTAAAATGATAATAGGGTGAATGGAAAATTGTAGTTCAAAGTGTACCATTGCAAAATGTTTATGTATCGGTGGAAAAACTATTTAATGTCCTACACGGGAAAATGAACAAGGCAATAATTAGTTTATATATGGTTACACTTTGAAAGGGTATAATCATGTATAGTATAGAGGTTTTTTTCACATGTGTGTGTATGGGGATGCAAATTATGGACTGAATTAGCACTTCGACCTTAAATTTGAGTGTTGGAGCAATTTGCGTACGCAAATGTCGAACCAAACGAACCAAAAATTGGCTCGAGTTAATGGTGGTGTTAATGGCTGTAACATTCGTAACTCCCAACTTATTAATTCTCCATTAGAGCCTACTTATAAAAAATACATTCTCTGTCTACATATTATTTTTAGTTCTTGTTTGCTCGAAATTTTCTAGTTTCTGTCTAGTCTTGGTGGTCCTGTTCTAATACAAATTCTGTTTGTCAGAGTAGAAGTTGAAGTTCTCAGATTATAGTGATTTCTCCATTGTAGAATGGTCACCAGTAAATGTGATGAAGTAGGGAAGTTTTGAAGTTTGCTGACCTCTTGGGAACTTTTGGCAAAGTTCGGTGGCTATTTAGGGTATTAACTCCACACTCATCCACTGCGGTGAGAGTTGTTGTACTCAAGTGGTGGCCTCTCGCTGCCCGTAGTGGAGCGAAAGTGTTGCTACAAGCAGCATGGCTTACGCACAGCTGATTTGGAATGATGATGAACCTACTGCAACACGAAGTGACGTCTGTCGTTGCTACATGCCGCGGCGCTTGTCACACGCTGCTACTATGACGATTGCTGCCGCCAGTCCTTGTCTCCCTTCTTTCCTCCAATCCAAATTTTCAACCAAGAAAATTAATTGTTCTTTTTAAAAAAAGTATTTTTAGAGTAGAAAAATAAGTTTATACATTGGTAAATTCAAGAAAAAATATAAACAATCAACTTTTGATTGTTCAAACATGTAAAATAGTTTCTAACATGCACAAAGTAGGCTTGATACCATTGTTGAGAATTTACTAAACATACACAACGAAATTTAAATAATATTTCAATTTTCACCAATGATCTTATTTGTGTTTAGAAAGAAATTGTGATAGAAATTATACATTTTTTGAATTCTGTAAAATCCTTTACTTATCTTGAATACGAACAATCATGATTTGCAATCCATAGTTATTCACTTGTCCAGTCTCCAATAGAAATTCCCACAGGAAACAAGAAAGAGAACAGGGTTTGACCATACTTCACAACATTGACTTTAGCCATAACATGATTGAACACTTTCTTTTCAGAACTTCTGTTATCTTCTTCGATTCGAAGCCTAACAATCACTCATTCAATGTACATTTCCTTTCGCTTGTATTTAAGGTAATTTTTGAAATCCTTCCATACCGGAGATAGCTTTTCAATAATTGCAACCATTTGGGAAGTTTCACTCAAATTCATCATCTCGATGTGAATTTCGTGTAAAATCATTTGGAGTTTCTGTACTTGACTAATTACAGTTTTGGAGTCCACCATTTTATAATCTAAAAATTGGCCAACAATAAATTTCTTAACACCTACATCCTTATTTTAATAATTCTAGTCTAAAGACTCTCACAACTCTTTGGTTGTTTCACTGTACTATATATTGCTCAGCCAAACCAATCATGATATAGTTGTGGCACAGAAAATTAGAATATTTTCAAGCATCAAGAGCGTTGATAGCTTGGACATTACCCTCACCCTCATTGAGTTTCAAAGCATCTTCAGTCAAGAGCCTTACAAAATTCAAGGTGGTCAGACTGTTGCCTCCTTTTGGAATTCAAGCTATTGAATTTCTCCTTTTTTCCTCATGATTAACCAGAACAGTTACCCTGGGGCTAGATGTTTAGATATGTTTATGTATACTTGATGGAATTTAAGCATGAAGGACTTGAAAAGTTCAAGGAATTCAAACTAGAAGTAGTGAAACAAGTAGGTAAAGGTATTCTCACATTAAGATTTCATTGAGATGGAGAATATCTGAAAGGAGAATTTTTAGATTATCTAAAAGAGGACGAGATTCTCTTGTAGTGCACTCTACCACATACATCGTAATATAAAGGTGTATCTGAATGGATGAATCGTATATTATTACATATGGTGCGACCTATAATGAGCCATGCAAACTTCCTGAAATTGTTTTGAGGTCATGCACTGATTGTTGAGTGCTATACATTAAATCGTATCCCATCTAAGTTGGTTGAAAAATTCCATACGAGTTGTGGAAAGGCAGAAGGCCCAACTTGTCTTATGTTAAAGTCTGGGACTGTGAAACTTATATGAAGCGTACAAAATCGGATAAGCTTGAGGCTAAATCCTATAAATGCATATTTGTGGATATCTAAAAGAGATAATTGGATATCGACTCTATAATCCCATCGAGAAGAAAGTGTTCGTCTCAATACATACCATGTTCATAGAGAGAATTCATTCAAGGAGAGGGTACTGGGAGTAAATTAGAACTTGAAGAAGTTCTTGAGTCCACAGATATTGTTGACCAATTAGATGCACCTGAGTCTGATCCCACACCTGTTGAGGGACAAACTCTTGATCAGGACATAGAA